ATGCTCATTTTACTTTTGTGTTATTTGAGATTGGCATCACATCACACTTTTTCGCAACACGAAATTGCAGTAACTGAATAAAGCACAACTATGCCATTTATCTGCACATTACCGTCCGATGAAATGTTTTATGGACTCTAGTCGTCCTGTCGTAAACACGAAAGGCATAGCGGAACGATCGAGTCATTCCGACAGAGCGCTCTGAATGGCCCGCTTGTACATCGACAGTTGTTTGCTTCTAGCTCCCAATGAACAAAGGGACGACGGAACCTATCCAGAATTTTAATTCCGCGTATTCGGGCATCGAAGGGAATTCCACGGGGCGCAACAACCATGTCGCAATTCGTAATGTAACCAGCACACGCAACGCTGAGCAACCATTCGAGGTATTCGTTTTCGCAGAATTTCCCCGTTTTCGTGTACAATGTGAACATTGACATGTAGGCTAGGGAATTTAATATCAAAATTAAATAATAATCAGGTTCTAGTATCACATTTCCAACCACTTGAACCCGACTGAGCATGCGCAGTGTACATGTTCAAGCGAGGGTAAAACCTATTCGGGATTTATCGGTGCGCTATTTCAGCAATATAATTTTGGGTAGGAAAACTAGTTTCGTACTGTTGAAACAGTACTCACGATCTTGGCGGGACGTGTAATTTCTGACATGCGCAGAACGCACAAGATTTTGTTTTGTAATGCGTGCCGTATGATTTGGGGTTAAGGTTTTTGAATTGTAATGGGGAGTTTGCATCTTTCTTAGTTTAGTTGCAACATTGAATAGTTTGAACCATTTGAAAGGCTTGAAGCCAGATAACCGTTTTTATAACATTTTGCTGTGTACTTAATTTTCACTGCAAGGTATACCTACATAAATGTAACGGTACCTCTTTAGAATGGAAGTAAATTCAAGGAACATTTCGGAGTGACTGGTAAACTGGCTGAAGATATTTCAACTAAATACGATACAGCATGTTCTTCAAAAAGTCGACAGGAGGCAATAAAAAAGTTTCTGCTTCATAGCAACTCATCTTTTTTGTGGTTCGCAGGACATGGAACATCATCATTTCGTGATGTTGCAGATGGACTTGATATAACGATTAGTCATTTATTCTACATAATACGACGTTTAGGGCCAATTTCACCAACATTAATATTTAACGGTCCCTTGGACCAATGGGAAAATAGCTTATCGCAATGCAATTTGACGGAAGCTGTCAAAGATCTCTGAATATCAGTGATTTCTATTGAAACGTTGTACAAAGTCGTGAAAAAATGGTTGCCTTATAAATTAGGGTACATTATCGATGTAATATTATGTCTTTGTGCTTTAGAATTAGGATAACTTTCATAGAATTTCCAGTTTCACACATAACGGTCAGTTATGTAAATGGACCAATCATAATGATAGAAATAATAGGTCGTTTTTCTAGCTATTATATTTGGTAGGATGTTTTCACTGTTTTTGACGACTGTTCATGCATGGCAATCTAGTTTTGTCTGTATGTCACGTACATGGTCTTGTACAAAATACGTACGTATAGAAATGTACGGATTTTTGCAATTTTGCAAAAAAAGGATATAAAACGTATTCCAACTAGTTCATGTTTTGTTACATCAAAAACAATTTTTGCCAATTTATGATCTAGAAATCCACACCAAATATAAACAAACAGCACATTCTGCTTTTCAGGGTCCTAAAACATCGATATTTGTAGAAGTATCCGCATCCACCTATTATTCATCGTCTAGATTCTAGATATTATAAGTCAGAATCAAAAATACCTATTTATGGAAACATATCTCCAAACATTGTTTTATTTTCTTATTTTTATTAGTATAACACATCTGGGACACAAAACATATACACTGAAGAAGGTTTAATTCTATGCTACTCTATGGCAACACGGTGACTTGTATGGTTGTCCGTGGCCATTTGTTGAGGGTGCGACATGGTTGTCATATTATGCACCAGCAACACTGCTTTGTTTCCAATATGAGTTTCACCCCCCTGGTCTGGGATATCAATAGCTTTCAATTAAAGTGAACTGCACATCTGCAGTGTTGCCGAACCGGCAAAAAAACGGAATTGGCAAATAGTGTCGTTGAATTCGGTATAAGGTAAATGCCGTCCCAAGATCAGTGGTAGATGAAGGACCTTTGAGTCATAAAAGACGTCTGTTATTGTATTGGCCGCACACACAACATGTTTTTTGAGGACATAGTTCTATATTACAACTTCTACAATGTGCATACTGGTCGTTCTTTCAAAGTACTTTGCAACCATTCTGGAAACTTCTTTTTCGATTCTTGCTTATAGTATTGTATATATTTTTCTGTTTTATCCTTGAACTCATGAACTGACCTCTCATTTTAATTAAATATTTATTTTGAAAACAGGTAGGTTTCGGTTTGTTTATTGCTTGTCCGGTGGTGAGGTAATGATGGTAATCTACCAGTCTGTACCTTTTGTATGCACAAAAATCAAGTCAGGGCAAGTGGGATAAGGGATGAAGATGTACGTTCGTAATCATAGGCAACCCAAATCTACCCCTCTCATGTGCCCGACTGCCTGAGTGTGTATGCATATGTATGATTGATATGGAGCATAAAACTACATAAAATTAACTTTTAGCTTTATTTTTGGTTTCAGCTCTTTTTCGGCAAGTATAGAAATATTTAAATTATTTTGAAAAATCGTGGAGAATGTTATCGGTAAATATTCTCTTTTTGGTAAAAATACCGAAAAATCCAGTTCAAGTCCATGCATAGACATTCTGAAATTTGCAATATGAATTTATATTCTACATTCTATGCATATCCGTTCATATTCGTGAATATTTCATTTGAAGCCCTTCTTTGTCAAGATTTTATCAAAATGTAAGATAGTAAAGGCAACACCGCACCCTGCAGCCCAGTTGACAAGAACGACAAGCTGTCAAGATTAGGGATGTTTAGATCCACGAAAAGTATTGTTATGTATCGATTTCTATCGTTTTAGGAAGTATCGCTACTCTTTCTGACACAGTCCGGATCGAAAGATGACGATACTCGTAAAATGTATTGATACTTCTAAATACAGGATCGTATCGAACATCCCTACTGTCAAGATGTATAACCCGAGGTACCGACGGAGCTATTTTGCGGCGTCATGGAAATAATTTTAAATTTTCATATGCATTTTTTCAAGTGTTGTGCAACGATTTTGGGAAAAATTCCACGAATAGTCTTATTAAGCATAGTAGAGTATATTTCAACAGTTGGCGGAACTTACTCCCCTGGGACCAGGGGGGTGAAACGGGATATTAATGCACAATCTGGCAACCATGTCGCACCATCAAAAAATGACCGCTGACAACCACACAAGTCACCGTGTTGTCATGGAATAGCATGGAATTAAACCTTCTTCAGAGTATAAGTGTTTTGTGACTGTGACCAGGGTTGACAGATCCCACACATGTGAATCAGCCAATCAGCTGTATTGAAATAATGTCTAATATAAATATAACCTAGAATGTGTGGATGTGGATCTTTGTTAAGTTCCTGAACAACGAAAAATATTCAACTTTATGGATGTATGTATATCAAAAGACCTGAATGGTTTTGTGGGAATATCAATCTCAGGTGCCATAATGGTTCTGATGAACGGCAAGTAAATTAATGAATGTTTGGAAACGAGCAATATCCATGAACTTTTTGGTAGAGCCTGTTATCAAGTAGGTGCTTAATGGCTATCTGCAAGAGGTTTATAGGAAAAGAACACACGGTATGTATGTTGAATCAGTAAAGTAGCGTATCAATTGAAGAAAATTATATAACCATGAATAAAAAATCAACAACAGTAATTAAAACATGAATTTAATTAAAAAATCAAACATTTCTTTAAATTATGACTGAATTGTATGTAATTTCTTAATATTCAATAAGCTGGTGATGTTTCAATGACAAGTTGTCATCTCATACTTTGACGCTATTTTGTTTTCAACATTTCATAGCTATTGGTTGCTAAAATTTGTTGATTGGAACTTGAAGCTCATTCGCTGTATCTGACAGTCAGTTACCCTATTGGTTGGGAATAACGGACTGTTGTTGGTGAAATTGGCCCTTAATCTAGTGTTTAAGTAGTATGTCTGGGACTGTAATTGATGAGGAAAGAAACCTAGAATTTTATCTAAATGTCAAGTACGAGGCAGTCACAGTCAAATCAAACGTATTTTGACAGAAAAATGTATTCTAATACAATCAAATTTGAAACTGTTTGAAACTAATCTCTTGACAGCGCATGCGCGTTGAAGGAGTTCACAATCGGGCGTCAAACCGTTGGAAATGTGATGCTAGAATATCACTTAGTGCAACAGAAAATGGTTTTGGTGGTATCGTTAAATATTCTGATCAGTTCAAATTGGAGGCATGTTAGGACTGGGACATTAGGTGCCATGTCGATAAACTCGCTTTATCAAATATTTCTTAAACTGTCGACCCTATGTAAAAAAATAATAGAAACAATTTGGTAAGGAATTAATTTTGCTTGCTATAGAATTCCCGTGTGCGTAACAGATCATAAGAAATTCAAGGATAAAATACATGTGATGACGTTTTTCGCGTATAATGGCTAAACTAGCAATCTCAGCATCTGTCCTTTTTGTGCAGAGTATAAGATTTATAAAAAGGACTTTTATGACGGGCTAATGGTTTCGAAAATTAAAGAGTTTAAAGTTAAATATTGGGGCTTGTGAAAAAAAATGAGTGTCCACCATATTGCCTCAGTGCTTTATCTGGACGTCATGAGAGACCATTCAAGTATTACGTACGCACTAAAAGGGGGCGAAGGACCGTCGCTTTGCTTATTTTTGATGACATAGGAGATGGGGGTGTCTAGATGGTGATTACGTCAGCAATATTTCTTTTTTACTTTTTCGGAATTCATACAAAATTTAGTCGAACATGTGCTCGCAAGCGAAACGCATCTTTAGGGATCTCCAAATATGGATGTACTTACTCCCTTAGAACCTTAGCTATCAATGCTTCTGGTAGAAATTCGTATAACAAGAGTAGAGCGCAGGTGACTCCTCTCGTGGACCGGCTGGTTTGATACTGCCTCGTGACCATTTTGGGTCTCTACAATTAATAAACATTTAGAAAGATCCAAGTTCGACTTTAAAGGAAATGTATTAGCAGAGGTCTGAAGTTCAGTGGAAATTGATGGTTAGTTAATGCACAATATGCTGGGTCGGGCGAGCAAGATTTGCCTGATTTTCCAGACGTTAAATAGGATCCAGAGCCGGTGAGTGAAAGCCATTACTTGCTTCAAATTGTAAAATGTACCAAAGAGATTTGCTTATTTTTTCTAACAAGGGGTAGAGAGAATTGTAAAAAATCTGCTTACCTGATACCTGAACGGCTCCTGACTAATAAATGAAATATGAGAAATGTCTAATCTAGGTTTTTTGACTGCACCGTACAGTGATCTGAAAGTTGAAAAACGCCAAAAAATCAAAATTTATGATTATTCAAGGACATTGACCTAAGGACGTTTTGCGAAGTTTAGACTTTTAATTTTTAATTTGCCGTCAAACTGCAAAGTCTTTTCGTCATTGACATGAATAACCTTACCTCAAAATTGCATAAACGTCATGTATTTGTTAAATTGTTGGAACATCCAATTACATATCTCAATTTCAAATTTTCCCTTAATTATGTTTTCTAGCATACATTCGAACTCATTCCTCTTCACATACCCAATGCCTAAGTGGAATTCCATTTTAATTTTCCCTGACACCAGCTATTGTATAGTTAATTGCTATTTTTATCCCCGTTACCACATTGTTATGGTGATAAAATTATGAAATGTTTGCGCACATGGGTTTACATTACGCGAAATATTTGTTTTATTGCACAGTTGAATGTGGGTCAGCTACAATGCAAAAATAATATTTGTTGTATACACATATATGCTGGTAATAATCTGAACTGTTTTCAAGAGGTAATCCATGCCAGGGATACATCTATAGTAGGTCCTTCTTGGCTTGTAATAATGGTATCCAATACATTCTCATAAGTTTTCATTTTCATACACCACTTCTTACCTTCATTCCAAGTTTGTATTTTAGATTTTTCGTCCACGATAGGTCGTTTTCTGAACCTGCTTTATTCTTTTTGAATTCAGTTCATGAAAAACAATAACATGGAAAAAAAATAAACCTGAAATGCTGTCACCCATTTTCATACAATTCCATAGCTAGTGCAAGTCTAAGAACCTTTGCTGTTATAGAGAAAATTTTCTTTACTGCATTTTCTAATTAAAAACGAATTTCTGATTCATATCTTTATAATATTTCGCAATAATATCTAGAATCATAGCGAAACATGAATTCTATATTGCAATTTTCTTGTAATGAATTACGTAAAAATTTCTAAATGTACGCCACAAATGAATGAACAATTCAATGGTTAAAATTGATTTACTACTCTTATTTTCATTTCTGTCATGCTCTGGTTATTTCTGGAACTTTCAATGACACTGCTTCTCTGTTTAAAGAAATAATAAAAAAGTGTGTGTGTGTGTTTGATATTTGTATCACATAAAGTATGAAGTTACTTCTCGACTTTGGCCCCATGAGAACAAAATGCCCAAAAAATAGGTAATCTGCGTCGTCGTACGGCCTACAGACATCTCCGGCCGCAAGGTATCCGTATCGTAATTGACGGGTTCTCCTCTTCATCCCACAACGTCAACGCTGGTGTTCCCAAGGGAATGGTCTTGGCGCAATATTGTTTCTATTACATATTAAAGACCCCCTTTCCTGTACGATCAATCCGATCAACAGATTTGTTCATGACAGCATTCTACATGCAGGAATTGAGGGTGCCAATTAGATTTACGCCGGTGAGCTGGAGGACTAGCAGCAACTTTCTCTCTGGCGAGAGATGTGGAGGTTATCACTGCTCTTGGACGCACGAATCTGGTACAGTTCAATGTTTGTAAAACACTGTATTATACTTTGACTCACAAGAAGCGTCATAGCGCGCATCCGATGGATGGCCGAGTTCTACCAAAGAGCCAGTCATATAGTCTGGTCGGAATCCAGATTACCGAGAACTTGATATCGCCTGAACACATCTTGTCAAGTGCGGAAGCTACTGAGGAAAAGTTAAGTCATTCGTTTATGACTAAGAAATACTTTTCTCCATATAACCTTACTCTGTACAAGGTCCAAATAAGATCTAGATACATGTTTGGGGTGCTGCTGCCCCGACTACTTTATCCATCTTTGATCCTCTTCAGAGGAGGTCCGTCCGACTGATCTGGCTCTCTTGTACCGCTCTGTAATGCCGCCGCGCGATGACTCTGCCGGACAAACCCGCCTGACTTCGGCCTCCCCTCCTAATCGCGTCAGCTTCGCCTATCCTGAACTGGCCATTACGACCGCTCCTTTGTCCCTAGGGTATCGAGATTGTCGAAAAATCTTTCTGAGAAGGCTTTTCCCAGAGCTACTAATCTTAGGCGATTCAAAAATCGTATTAAAAGGGTGTCTTTTATCCCCTAGTAGTGCCCCTGTATTTGGGCTTCTGCGTACGTGGAAATAATCACCACAAACGTCGTGAGATCTACGAATTATAATAATTGTCAAGGACTCTTTTCTTAGCATGCACCTGTTGCAGCATTATAATACAGGTTCATAATGCATTGGCGCACAGGCAGAAGAAGATCCCCTCTTGTTCGACAATCCAAGTTCGTTATTCACGCTTTCAAAACCCAAGTCACTAAGGACCCCGCAACTATCCTTATCGAAAGCCGGTCCCTGTCAAATTTAACGAAGCTTTGCTGAATGATTGTCCTCAATGTGGAGATGAAAAAAATCAATGGAACCTAAGTCTAAAAAACTGCTATTCTGATCCTGTGGGGTTCTGATGTTATTGAATTCATGTGCTTGATAAACATCAAGCGCCCTATTTTACTGTCTGATTTAAACAATATTTTCTTGGCTACAGGATGGCAATTTACTAGCCTCTTTTGCTGCAAGATCAGCCTTGATAACTGCTGTTTAGCTAGTTAGTTAAGCTTTGATTGATTAATGTTTTGTATACCGAAATAATCGTGGGTTCCGTGGGGCACAAGAAAAAGGGGGAACGTCTCATAGACTTGTGCATGTGAAATGCCCACGTTCTGGTCCCACTTTAGATTTCCGCTGGGTGGTACCTCCATGCTCGACGGTCTGAAACCGTCCACCACCTACGGACAACAACAACAATCATAACCAAGGGGAATTTTCTCTTGGGGCGGGATTCGAACCCTCACGGCTTACGGCGTCTAATTAGTAGAATTATAGCGCGCCACACTACGATGACATTCTGTGATAGTGATTGGCTGTTTGAGCTCTACTTCACTTGAACGATTTCTCCAGTTCGCCTATTTTTCCCTTCTCCATTGACCCCAAGAACCTCAATTTTTCTTCGCTAATCTCCAATGCTCAGCAGCGATGCAGCAGAGCATCGTGTCACACTATGGATGTTGCTGTGCGAGCGCTCGAAATGAAATTTAATCAGGCCATTTAACGGCCAATTTGCCTTCAATGTTCTTGTGCATCCGGCGCAGGGATACGTATGCAAAATTGTCCCCTGACGTCGCGATCGTGATGCTTTACGCGATGACGTGACGGGAGTAATCTTGTTATTTGGTGCCGCTTGCCTAACGTGATTGGCTGTAAATTTTAGCGAAAAATGGATGAGCGCATGGGTCATCGTCTGTATATTTTTAGAAACTTGAAAATCAAAGGCATCAGGATGTTTCCAAGGCAAGTGAGGTTCGAATTTGGAGATGTGGCGACCGGAATAATAACTATAACCATTGAGTATCCAATGAGTACTCCGGGGTTTAAATTTAGTGTCATACTTTATGCAACATCTGAAACTGCTCGATAATTCCCCATTCTTGTCTGGCCAATCAGACCATATGTATTTAAAATTCTTCTTTACTGAAAATTTTTCTGGGGGCCAACGGTACAATACGAGCCCCTTCCCACTTCAGTTGGCCCACTTAAAGATTTGTACCAAAATATGCCTCTATAAACTAAACATGACGAAACTATTTACTTCTAAATCAATTCATTTTCTCAAAAACATTTTAGATACACTCTAGTCGTAAAACATACATATTTGAAATCACTTAGACCTATAACTAATAGAACATCTGAACAAATAAACAATGTGAGAATAAATGCGTGAAGTTAACAAAGCAACAATTGAAAGATTTCCATTGGGTAACATTACCTTTATTTTTTATTAAGGCTGTAATTCTTTGGGGCATAGCGTTAACCAAGTTTTGGCAAACATTTGGTGTAAAACAATCCCATATTTCTTGAAGCTTTTATCTCAGTTTAGTGATTGTACGAGCATGATGTTGTCGCAAAACCTTTTTCATCTCGTGCCACAAGTTTCAATAGGTGACAGATCTGGACTGCTAGGAACATATTTCAAAAGTGGTACATTATTTTCTTCCATCCATTTTGTAGCATTTTTTGAGGTATGGCACGCTGCATCATCTTGCTGAAACACAAAATCTTGGCCGGATCTCAAACATTCTTTCATCACTGGTAGAAGCGATTCTTCTAAATTGCCAAATATTTGTTTGTATCCACATTTCCATCAATAAAATGAGGTTTTCCTACTCCTTTTGATGACATACTGCCCCAGACCATAATGGATGTTGGAAATTTCACTTTTCTCTTTAGACAGTCAACACGGAATTCATCATTTTCTTTGCGAATAACTCTACTGCGACTGTCAACAACACAAACTTCACCACTCCATTGTATTGCACACCATTGTTGAGGTGTCCATTGTCTATGTCCTTTAGCCCATCTAAGCCGATTTTTCTTTTGCAGTGGAGTTAATAGTGGCTTTTCTTTGGCCTATAAACAAGTTGTGCAGCTTTAGGGTTTTTACTTCACTTTTTTTTATAAGAAAACTTACCTTTCAAGTGCTAAATCCCAGTTTGTGGGCCTCTCTATGAGTTGTGGACCTCGAAATTCTCCTTCCAACAGCGTCACTCCACAGGGCACTTAATTGTAAATAATTGGCACGCCTGTTTTTCACGATTATTTTTCTTAATGCTCTTCGGTCGGCATTTGTGATATTACTTTTTTTCACATATCGTGGCTTAATATTAACTGAGCCAGTTACGTTATTTCTTCTAACAATTTTTTCTCACACTGTACCGCGATAAATCTAACAAAGTTGCAATTTCTCAGTTTCTCAATTTCAGAATTAAAAAATTTAATTATCAGTAACCGAATTTTCTCACTAATAACCTTTCCTCTACCCATTTTAAATACCTTAACTTCCCAAAACTATTTTAAACGTATTCTGTCAGCTGTGATTAATAAAAACAATTGTCATGGTTTTTATTTTTCACAGCGACCTATGCGTTATAGACTTATTTTGCACTGAAATGAAAATATTTTGATATTCTGTAATTTCAACATTTTTATTTTTTTGCTGCCAATTTGATTAGGGAGTGATAAAGTTGGTGGTTTATACTATATATTATCAAAATATTCTATATTAATA